AAATATTTGGAAACACTTGTGTGGATTATTTGAAATTATGTGATCCTACTATCGTTTAGCTTAGACACCTTAGTCCAATAATTTTCCTCTATAGGTAGATAGAGTTTTAACGGCATCCGTTTAATTGACGAGCCAAAACTAAGAAACAAACATCACAGGCTCGCCAGTTCAACGGATGCCTGCAAATCTCTGTTTACTTCTTTGACAAGGAAGAATATCAAATTAAGGTGTTCAAGCTAGACAATGGTTGAAATTATGTTAACAAAACCTTACTCAAAATCATACTAATAAACTTGTGTTAGAAATAAAGAATTTGTGAAAGGTAGGAACAAACATTTGGAAACAACTAGATTTTTTGAAATAACGGTAATACTTCCATCCTCTAGCTTGAACACCTTAATTCGATATTATTCCTTAATAAGTAGTAGATAGAGGATGGGAGTCCCACCGCAATTTTAAAAAAAAAAAATCCACAGAGTTGTTTCTAAATGTTTGTTCCTAGCTTTCAATGAATCTTTATTTCTAACTCAACTTTAATATTATGTTTTTGAGTAAGTATTTTTAACAATATTTTAACCATCGCCTAGCTTAAACACCTTCAATAGATACTCTTCTTTGATAAGTAGGTAGAGTTTTCCAGGCATCCATTGAACTCACAAGTCAAAACCAAATAACGAGTATTACAGCCACGTCAGTTAAACGGATGAATGCAAAACATCGCCTAATTCTCCGACGAGGATCAGGTTAAGGTGTTCAAGATAGAATATGATAGTGATTTTGTTAAAAATCATACTCAAAAATATACTATTAAACTTGAGTTAGTAACAAAGATTTTAGGAAAGGTAGGAACAATCATTTGGAAACAAATATGTGTGTTTTTTTTTTAAAATTTGGAGTTACTCCCATCGTCTAGCTTGAAAAAATTAATCTGATATTCTTCCTCGTTAAGTTGATCGAGTTTGCAGGCATATGTTGAACTCACGACCCGAATTGGAGAAACGAGTATTATAGGTTAGTGAATTCAACAGATGCCTGCAAAACTCTATGTACTTCTCCGATAATGAAGAATATCAGATAAAAGTGTTCAGGCTAGACGATTATAGTGACCCTGTTAGAAAACTTATACAAATAACATAATATTATATTTGTAATAGAAAGAAAGATACAGTGAAAGTTAGAAACAAGCATTATACAACAACTTTCTGGATTTTAAAAATAAAGAATCTATGAAAGCTATGAACAAACATTTTGAAACAACTCTGACTTTTTTTTTTTGAAATTGCGGACCATCTTCTAGCTTGAACACCTTAATCCGATAATTTTCGTAGATAGAGTTTTTCATGCATTCGTTTAACTCACGAGCCTAAACTAAGAAACATTATTACAGGCTAGTCAATTCAGCGGATTCCTGCAAAACTCCGTTAACTTCTCCGACGAAAAAGAATATCGGATTAAAGTGTTAAAGCTAAATGATGGTTGTAATTATGTTTACTCAAAATCATACTGCTAAATCTTACTTAGAAATAAAGATTTAGTGTAAGTTAAAAACAAATATTTGAAATTTTCAAAATTGCGGTGATACTCATATTTTCTAGCTTGAACTTCTTAATATGATATTTCTTCGTTAAGTATAGAGAATTTTTCAGGTATCCGCTGAATTACGAGCCAAAATGGAAAAATAAGTATTTTTGGCTGCAAAACTCGAGTTACTTCTTCAACGATGAAGAATATCGAATTAAGGTGATCAAACTAGATTAGTGTCGTGATTCTGTAGAAAACTTACACAAAACATATTTTTAAATTTTAGCTAAAAATAAATTCAATGAAAGCCATTTGGAAACAACTTTGTCGATTTATTAAAATTGCGGTGATACTACCATATCATCGTTTAGCATGAACACTTTAATCGATATTTTTCATTCCAGGTATCAATTAAATTCACGAGCCCAAACCAAAAAACAAGTACTACATACTCGTTAGATCAGTGGATGCCCACAACATGTCATTAAACCAATATATCAAAAGAAGAGTATGTATTCTTCAACAACGTTTTAACGGAATACACTTTATAATTGAGTTTTGTGTGGCCTATAGTATTTGCCTATTTGGTATGCAACATACACATCTTACTCTCTAAATCATCTCTAATAATTAGTTTATTCATACTTAGACCCGTATCATATACACTTGTTTTGTATGACTTGCACCATTTGATCCAAATCTACCATTTGAATCCATTCTTGAATGGCAAGCAGGGGCGGATCTATCATTGTGAAGAAGGTGGCAGTTGCCATCACTCAAAACAAAATTATTAAAATTGGTTTATAAAAAAAAAAAAAATTTGCCACCACTAAAAAATAAGAAATTGCCCTCACAGTCCAATTTTATAAATGTTTAAGCTCAATCCAATTGTTTATAACAAACAAGCCCATTTTTTAAGTAAACAAAGATATAAAATAAAACTAATTAGTTAAACAATTTAAAATCCTTAATTTTGTTCTCTGTTTCTTCCTTGCTCGAGTCATCTCCGTTTTTGCCGTCGGAGAGTGGTAACTTTTTTACTTTTGATATGTTTTGAAATTTTAAAAGTTGTGTTCATTATTATTAATGTTTTTACAATTTGTGAAGTTAAGAGCATATTAATTTATATACCAATTGTTTTTATTTTACAGATAAATTATGGAGATATATTTTAAAAGAAAATTTCCTTCAACACTTGATATTAATGTCGATGATTTGCCATGTGATCCCGCTGAAAAGGCCAACATAATAGATTATCATCCAAATCAAAGAGACAAGGTTAAATGCAAATATCTAACTAAAGGTCCATGCCAACCTCATGGTCATAAGTTTAAACAAAATTCTATAGGAAGTTTGATGAGGCGATTTAATTCGGTATGGTTTGATTAGTATGGTAGTTGGTTAGAGTATAGCATATCAATAGAAAGAGTTTTTTTTTTTTTATGTTGCTACGTATTTAAAGACGAGTTTCGGAAACAAGGTGGGAGTGATGCCTTTGTTAAAGAAGGGTTTAACAGTTAGAATAAACCTGAGAGATTAGGCACTCATGTGGGTAAGCCACCCAACAGTTTTCATATTATTTCTGCTAAAAAATGTGAGAATTTTATGAATCAAAGTAGGTCTATTGTGCATACTCTGTTTAAGCAGGATGATATAGTGAAAAAGGAGTATTGCATTCACTTAAATGCTTCAATTGATGCTTCAAGATACTTGTTGAGATAAGGTTTACCTTTTTGTGCTTATATTGAGAATGAAGAGGCTGCCAATAGAGGAAATTTTTTGGAATTTGTGAGATACACAGGATAAAAAAATGATGCTATAAGTAAGACTATTCTAAATAATGCTCCAAAAAATTACCAGATGATTTCTCTAGTAATTCAAAAAGATATTGTGAATTCATATGCTGAAGAAGTAAGTAATTCTATTGTTGAAGAAATTGATCATGATGTCTTTAGCTTGCTGGTTGATGATGAATATGTCGATGTTTCACACAAAGAGCAGATGGGTGTTGTTTTTAGGTTTGTTGATAAGAATAACATAGTCAAAGAAAGATTTATTGTAGTGGTTCATGTAGAGGAAATGTCTTCATCAGTTTTAAAGTCTGATATAGATGATTTGTTTGCTAAATATAAGATGAGCTTAAAAAAGTTGAGATGACAAGGTTATGATGGAGCTAGTAATATGAAGGGTGAGTTTAATAGGTTGAGATCATTGGTTGCTAGAAAAAACAGTTCAGCATGTTATGTCCATTGTTTTGCTTATCAACTTCAGCTGGTTGTAGTGGCAGTTGCCAAAAAGCACTTTGCTATTGCTGATTTTTTTTATATGGTTTCTACATTGCTGATTGTGATTGGAGGTTCTTGTAAACGACAAGATATGATTGGAGAACGTAGAGATCTTAAGAAAAGAATCAATGATGGTGACGTCAAAACTGGAACATGACAAAATGTGGAACGTTCTTTTCCAAGACCAGCAAATACTCGTTGTGGTTCTCATTACAAAACATTGCTGCGATTGATAGAATTATTTTTTACAATCATTTAAGTTCTTGATTATATTTACAGAAACGTAAAGCATGTGGTCTTCTTAAGTATTTTCACACATTTGATTGTGTGTTCTATTTGCATCTAATGCTGCTTATTTTAGGGCTCACTGAGAACTTGTCAATAGCTTTGCAACAGGAATATCAAGATATTTTAAATGTCATGCCACTTGTGGAATCTATTAAAAGAGAACTACAGAAGGTTAGGGATGATGGATGGGATTCTCTTATGAACTAAAGTTTTAGTTTTTTGTGAGAAAATATAATGCTAAAAAGCTCATCATAGAAGAAGATTTTGTTGATCCAAGGAAGCCAAAAAAGAGAACCAACATAACCAATATGCATCATTATAAGGTCAATTTGTTTTATACTGTTCTCGACTTGCAGATTCAAGAGTTCAATGATCGTTTTACAGAGGTAAACATTGATCTACTTATTTGTATGACTTCTTTAAGCCATATTGTTTCATTCCATGGGTTTGAAAAGGAGAAGATGTTGAGGTTAGCTAAGTTTTATCGAGATGATTTTTAGCTATGGTGAGTTTTTATTTCTTGAGCAACAACTTGATATCTACATCGACAATATATGTAAAGATGAACGGTTTAAGAGTGTGGAGAATCTTGGTGATTTTTCATGTCTAATGGTAAAAATTCAAAAACATATTTCACATCATTTGGTTTTGGTTTACAGACTTTTAAAGTTAGTTTTAACTTTGCTGGTTGCCACTGCAATTGTAGAAAGATGTTTTTCTGTAATGAAACTTTCTAAGTGATTGTCTGGTTTGTTTTGTTGAAAATGAGTTGTTTAAAAATGTTATAATTGGAAAAGTTATAAAAAAGGATTTCATATGATGATTGAGCAGAGTATTTCTGTAAGAGTGATTTTTTTTGTTTTCATCACGTTTGTTGGATTTTGTTGTAATTTTTAATATAACATTATTTTTTAATTTTGATTTTCTATCATGTTATATTTTATTTCCACTAATAAAATTTTCCAGATCCGTCACAGATGGTAAGCTAATGGCAAATTTGGCGATACTGACAGCGGCCACATCACAAAATCTGTCTAATCAAGATGTCCTATCTTTTTACTAGGGATGAGAGCAACAAAAACAACAAATATATAAATCTAGTCGACAGAAACTTTCATGTTCTTGGCTGATCTATCAATCTCCCTGAAATAGCAGCCGCAAGGGCTGCAGTAAACTTTGGATCACTCGTCAACGAAGAGGCCATTTGTTGCATCAAAACCTCTTGAGCCGTTCCTCTCTCTTTCTTTTCCTCAACAGGTCCAAGACCACCTTGGACTAGGTCAAGCTTCACTGTCCTGGACCCACCTATATGTGGACCCGGGTGGTTATGTGTCCCTTCGTAAGTGGCTACCAAGAAAGATGGATCTTCTGCACTTCGTTGTACCTTAACAAAACACACCACTAAGCAAGATTTCGAAGAACTCTTTTACAAATTTTAATCTGGACTTGAATGTAAACTACCTTCTTCTTGACTGCACAAGCCGGTGAAAATGAGCATCTGAAGTAAGCTCTAGGAGATGGGTTATCTTTCGTAATCTTTTGCCCGTATTTCCTCCATTGATATCCATCTTTCACAGTCTGCTAGTAAGCATTCCACATTCATTATACAATCGATGATCGATAAGATCAAGACTCTGAAATATGAAGAACCCTAAGTATCTTGTTGTAGAGATCTTCTAACTCAACTAAAGCAAAAAGGCTCCTAAGTACTAACGAATTAACTGGTCAAACCCTTTCATCTCAGATATTCCTATATAGACTCATAAATGCTTCTCAGTGATATTCAGACGGAGCCAATCAAGATTCAAGAACATAGAAACGCTTACCAAGCTTGTGTCAGACGTATCAGAGGGATAATAGGCGGTTGAAACCGATGCTTTGTCGCTGGAGATATTATCGGTTGTTCCGCAGCTGAGTCTAATTGTGGAGCTTGAAAACTCATCAACGTCCTGTTTTCGTTTTCTCGTGAGCTGTTCGTTCGGAAAGTTTCCATTTTCACGACTCTTTTGATTCATCAACTCCTCCAGATAACTATGTAGAGCGTAGTAATTCTCACAGACTCTGGCTAGCATTTCGGTTAGCTTCTTGTTTTCGGAATTCGCCCGGTTTAACTCCTCTTGTAACATATTTGCCTTCTGTTCAGAATTTACAAAAACCATAAAATCATAATTACCACACAAAAAGACAGATTAAGAAAAATATTCGATTTTTGTTTGAATCTGACCATAGTTTTGAGGCTTTTCATTACATCAGCATACGATCTATCAAACTAAATCAGAGATGTTTACTCAGATCCGTACTAATTATTTTACTAACCTCGTCTTTCACTAACCATTTCCTCGCCAGATCAACAGAAGCCAAATCCGAGACTTTCCTTTTCTGAATCGTGAACAAGAACAGAACATGAACCTCAGATTTATTACCACAACAACATTGTCCGGCGGAAATTGAACTGAAAGAAGGAAAATTCGGAACTCACCGGAAGTTTACCGGCGAAATGAAGGTCGAAGGGGTTGGTGTTGGGGTCGAGAGATGATGAATAGTCCATAAAAAACTGGATCACGGAACAGAGAAGCTTAAAAGCTAAAAGTATACAGAGACCAAATTAGCTTTGCTTAGAGATTTGGTTTTATACTACTAGTAGGTGGAGAGAGTGTGTATGCGTAAAATAATGAAAGATGAAGAAGAGGATGTCGATTTGTGTAATTGTGTGGAAGAAAAAAGCTTTGAAACTGGGAAAGTGAGGATTTATTTCGTTACATTTTCGTATATAGATTCAGAAAAACGGTTAATTTGGTCCAAAGACTTTCTACGTAATTTAGATATTAATAAGTAATTTATATAGTTGAACTTTTTTTGGTGAAGAATATGAAAACTGTGTAAATGTATTGAATGTGTCAAACAAAAATTAGTAGAATTTTACATTATTTAAACCATAAACCTTAAAAATAATTGTATCTGTTTTCTCATTGTATTTTCTTCATCACTGGAAATGATTTTGTATTTGCAAGGATTCCTTAAACTCACCTAGAAAAATCATTTGGAGGTTAATGTTCAGAAAAGGAAAGAAAAAAAACATTTGGAGGAGACGAAAGCCCAAGAGTCAGTCTTTGGGAAGGTTTATTTTTCATGACTTCATGTTGGCAGAAAATATATATTTAATACGTTGGATTAAAATCGTTGCCGTGCATCGGAATACTTCTTCCAAATGCAGAATGATAAAAGAAAATTAGGTGTTAAATCGTAGTCGAATTGTTATATTTTGTTGTCATCGGACAAAACAAGTAAATGCTCGGTCGAAAATCAACAACTTCGGCGGCTGTGTCCCATGTCGATGAAAAATTGGTACTTGTTATATCAAAACTAAGTTACAAATGCTCCTACCTTCTTCTTATATTCTTTCTTAAAGTGATGGGGATGTTTCCTTTTCCAACTTGGTTTATTTAAAAATCAAAACTAAGAAAAAAATATCACTTGACTTGACCTATTGACTAAGTTCGTCTCTCTCTCTTAATAGTAAACTTAGATTTTCGATTGCCAAAAGCAGATTGTTTTTTTTTTTGGGTTTTTCAACCATAAAGTTCATGGATTCAAAGCTCATAAAACATTTATGATTTATTTATTATATGCATTGATGTTGAAAATCATTTACTATCATGATATTATTAGTTTGTTTTAAGCTCATACAATTGTTTCTACAGATTTTATCTTCTTATTTCATAAACATATCCTTCAGACTGTTTCATATTTGATAGATGTCTTAGTTTATAAAAATTCTTTGCTTTTTCTCTAAAAACAGGGTCATTTTGTACGAATAAAGCTTTGGAATTGAATCAGAAGCAAAAGCATATGCATTAGCTAAACCAAGAAATATGTTTTAGTGGGTTGTGATGGAACAGATGAATTGCAACCAATATATTTCGGGAAAATAGATATTTAAATGTTGAATTTTCAAATTTCCGTCATTCTAAACACTACTTTTCATGTGATTCATTTAAGTAATAAACTTTTTTGTTGACTGATTTTTAGAACTTATATCGATTCAGTTATATTAGGCATTAATCATGACGTTAATGTTACTAAAAGATTGTCTGAACACCATTTGGTCAACGTTTATTAGTGAAGTTAATATCATGTCTGATATAGATATTCAAGTTCGTGATTCAAAAGATAATTGATATAAAAGTTTGTTATTTAAATCGTCCACACGAAACTTAGTATTTATAATGGCCAAATTTTAAAATTTGACATCTTTTATTTCTTTCTACTAATTGATAACTTTAATTTTATCAGTTTACATAATTGCAAAATCAAGTAAATCAAAAATAATTAAAAAATATTTAAACGTAAATTAAATTTACATTACAACACAATAACAAAAATGAAAAGATTGAATTTAACCTTAAAACATCAATTTAACCATATTTAATGATTCTTTAACAATGTAAATCTTATGAAACCCTAAATCTACGTACATAAGTTGAGATTGTGATAAATAAACGACTAGTTGACTGCAATCCATATATAAGGGAAACGACTAATTGTGTGTGACTAGTGTCTCTATCATTACAGTAACTTTCATATTTACATAACTTAAATATAAAAATATATTTGAGTTTTGTTTGAAAAATCACATTATTAAGTGAATCATGTGTTATCTCAAAACCTCAATAGGTTAAGTTTAAATCAATAGGATAAGTTTAAATTGATTTTTCATCAGTAATACATGACTTTTATTACTAATTACAAACTTCAAAAACCTTAGTCTTTCACATTATAAAATATTATAAAATTTTAAGTTTGAGATGTTCATTCAATTAAAAATAGAATTTATTGTTCAGTAAAAAATGTCATTTAAGTGCCAAATTTTCTAATTTTGGGCATTATAAGCACTAAATTTCGCGTGAACAGTTTAAATAACAAATTTTTATATCGATTCACAAACTTATGTTGAATAGCCATATTAGGCATGACGTTGATTTCACTAACAAATGTTTATTAAACGGCGTTTAGTCAATCTACTAGTGACATTAACGTCGTGCCTGATATGACTGAGTCGACATAAGTTCATAGTTTAAAAATCGGTAATTGAAATTTTTTGTTATTTATATAAACCACACGGAAGATTTGAAAGTTTGGCATTTAAATATTTATTTTCTTAATATATTTTAAGAGTTTATTTTTTTATCAACTGATTATATTAAAGAGGCCCAGGCCCAACGTTTAGCCCATTACATAAGCAGAAATAAGAGCTGCTTTTACCAAAGTATCAGCATGACGATTCGATTCTCTAGGAACGGAATTGAAAGAAATGAAACAGAAAGATGCAGATAAGTTGGTAATATCAAAGAGGATCTCGTGGAGTTTCATCGATATGTTACTGGGGTTGATGGTGTGTATGAGCACCTGTGAATCTGATTTGATACTGATTTTGAAGATGTTGAGTCATTGCATGTTGCAGGATTTCTCTAACTGCAAGTGCCTCAGCTGTGAGCGGAGATCGAGTGAAGTTCTGCGAGCGGGAGCCTTGGGCTATGTGGGATTCTGTTTGGTCATGGAGGATCCATCCCAAACCAGCTGTTTTGGTTATTGTGTTCCAAGCCGCGTCTGTATTACATCGGATCGCATCACGAGGCGTTTCTCTTCTTGGGAGCGATTGAGTATTGTCACTACCTGGTTGGCTTCTCACCAGGGTCTCTTGAGCCAAGGTCCGTTCCTGGGCGTTTGTTAATGCTTTGGTGAGTATTGCTAGGGGTTGCATGGATCTGTTTTCAAAGATGAGGAGGTTTCGGACTGTCCAAAGGGACCAGCAGATCCAAGTGAAGAGGGAGTCCATCTGGATTCCTATTGGGGGGAGAGGTATCATGGTCTTAGATACAGCCAGTCCCTCAACAAAGTGATGTATTTGGGGGGAAGCCCACTTCATCCTTGAGTGGAGCAGCACTCCACACGGTCTTTGCAAAATTGCAGTAGAAGAAAAGGTGAGTGGCTGTTTCTGGCTCTCCACACCGGATGCAATTTGTGTTAAAGCCTTTTTCTTGCCAAATTTTCACTAATAGGAATTACATTTTGTATGATTTTCTACAAGAAGAGCTTTAGTTTAGGTGAGAAGTTACCATTCCAGACGTTGCTTGTCCAATCAAAGCTTGAGGCACCTCGGGTTTCGAGGTTGATGGTAGGTCCAATTGTCTAGTAGCATGATACCCTCATCGGATGGTGTACTCTCTGTTTGCTTGGGGTACCCAGATGTACTGATCTTTTGTCGACAATTTGCTTGGGACTATGTTCAGAATATCCTGGATTAATTCCAAGAATTCTTTTTCCACACAGGGTAAATCCCAATCTTTTGTTTTGCTACGTAGGAAGTCTGCAACTTTGAAGTTTATAGAGGTTTCTTTTACAAGTCCGTGAGGAGGAGTTGATTTGATAGGAAAATCCATAGGTCATACCAAGAAAGCGTGGTTTCACCATTTTTAAGAGGTTACTAGGTGGTTGCTCGCACATATGTGCGGGTATAATTTTTTTTTATATACATAGTTAATTATAATATTTAAATATTGATTAGTTTTTTAAAAATTGGTATGTTTGTATATATATTGTTTTAATATTTCACAAACTTCTTTCTGAAACCAATATATTTTAAAAACTTTATTTTTATAATGTTTGTAATAATATATAATCACAAATATAAAAGTTATGTTAAATAATAATTAAATTTTTATAATATTTTTTGAATATTTCTATAATATGCATTATTTCTCCTTACACAATCTACAATATGCATTTTTGCGTTTTACATAATATGAATTTGCAAATACATATATAATATATTTTAAGTACATAGTTTTCTTGATTTATTGCAAATTAAACTGAAATAGTTTTTACCATTTTTACTTATTCTTAAGAGCAGATAGATGGTTGGCACGCATTATGCGGACATACCAACCACTTCACTATATTTAGAATAGATAAATAATTTTAAAAATATAAATTGTATAATAATTAAAACAAAATACATGCACGAAAAAGTTAATATTTATACATGTACGCGTATTTGTAAAAAAATTGAAATATGGCTTTTAGGAGTTAAAAAGTTTTTAAGTGACTTTGTAAAACAAAGTGCAAAAGATTTATTTTTATATACTTCTATTTTTATTTCTTATTCATATTGTTTCATCTTATTATAATTTATTCTATTGTTCAGTTATTTTTCATTTTATTTATATTCTCAAAATTTTGATATACAATAAAAATAAATTTATGTATATATACATATGATATAAAATTTAATCGTATTTAAAATATGATAAGAGATAAGATGAGATGATAAATAAGTTATGTACATTTTAGAAAATAACAATAAAAAAATGATAAAAGTTATAGAAAAATATATGGTCCCATTAATATTATAAAATAATAATTAGTATATACTTTATTCATTTAGTAAATATTGGTTTGAAAAGAAAAATTATTTAAAATTACATTTTTTTAAAAAACAATTCAATAAAAGTTGATTATTTTTTATTATTTTTTACATTTTATTCTTTAAATTATTTTTATCATGATTGTATTTTATTTAAAATTATATTATTTAGTAATTTTTTATTTAAAAATTTTTTAGATGTTATTAATATATTTTGTAAATTAATAAATTTCCAAAATAAAAATATATCATACTTCAAGTATTATTAATAAATAGAATTTTTATTATTCTATTGGATAATTTAGTATTATTTATTTGTTTTATATGAAATTATAATATATATATATATATATTGTTGAAAAAAATTTGTAATTATATTTTATGAAATTAAGAATATATGTAAAAAACTGAAATTATAATAACATTTATTATTAAATTTGTTAATTTTAGTGTTATAAATATAATCTAGTTAATTTATGTTTTAATTCTACAATTTCTATAATTTTAATTCAACCAATTAAAATATTTTGTTTATTTTAAGAACTTTAACATGTCATATTTACATGTCATCAATTAAAAGCACTAACTTTAACTGTAGTGTTGACAAGTCAGCTATTTTCAATAATGTTCTCAAATAATATGTAGTGGATTGAGTTTCATTTCAAAGTTTGTAGCCAAACAAAATGTCAAAGAAAAAGATGTACATTA